GATGTCTCGCCTGCACCACACAATGAAAATGAAGTATCAATAGAAAATATATGGAAGGAGTGACATGCAAAGCTTACAAAGGGAATAGCGAGAGGAAGGATGGATGGATGGAAGGATGGATGGAAGGAAGGATGGATGGAAGGAAGGAAGGAAGGAATGAATGAAAGAAGGATGGATGAAAAAAAATGTCTAAAACCTACCTTACATTCTTCATCCAGTAAATCAAGAATACCCAGCTTGGCTTCAATCATGTCGATACAGGGTTGATTGTCATAGAAATTAATGAAAGACCACTCTATCTCTTCTCTGACGTACTCATCTTGCTCTAGCTTGAATACATGCTACAACATAATATTATCAACAACACATCATTAACAATAGACCTTATTCATCGTGTTACAATGTCTCCCTTTATCCCAAACCATGTTCACTATCTCAGTAAAAGTTCTTCTTTYGTACCCAAGCTAGACCACAATGCACCATGTTCCCTTACCTGCGTAAACTGTTGTTGTAGTTTCTCATTAGCATAATTGATACAAAACTGTTCAAAACTGTTAGTTTCAAAGGTTTCAAACCTACAAGACATGAAAACAGCTGTTATTACTTAGTGCAAGGACACTCATTTCATCATCAGAATGACAAATTTAGAATAAAATATAGCTGATTAATACAAAGCAATAGAGCACTGATTACAGTCTCATTTCCCCTGGGTTAGTCTCATTACTTACCCATAAATGTCTAAAACCCCAATAAATGAATGACCCTTGACCGAGCTGGCAAGTGTCTTGTTGATCGTCATGACAACCCATTTGAATAGCTGTGAGTAGATGTGCTTACTGATGGCTTCTCTGCCGTAATTAGCCTGATAAATTAGGCAAAAAATAAGATTTAACTCTTCGTTGTTATCGTTAACACCATTATAACTTAAACAAGCAGCACCACCATGTTTCATTATCACAATTATCATGCATCATCATCATCATCATCATTATCATCCATCATCTTGTAACATTGCCATCATACCCACCATTGACATGATCATCATCATCAATGTTGTCATCCATTATCATCTTCATCATCATGCATCATCATCATCACCAACATCACCATCATCATAATGTATCATCATTATCATCCATTTTCATCCATCATCATCTTGTAACATTGTCACCCATTTTGATATGATCACCATCATCAATGTTGCCATCCATTATCATCACCATCATCATGCATCATCCATTATCATCATCATTATCATGTATCATCACCTGACCAACATCATCATAGTGTATCATCATTTCATCCATCACCATCACCCCAATCATGATCTTCTTTATGTATCATCATCATCACTATCACCATTATAATGATCTTCATTACATACATGTATCATCATAAATTATCATGCATCACCATCACCCTATATAGTCTCCCTCACAGCTGCTTTCAGTGTCGTCACGCAACGCTTTCTCCCCTGAGTAGTGGCCGCTACTCAGGGGAGAAAGTGTTGTGTGACAACACTGAAAGCGGCAGGGGGGGAGACTACCATCACCCTTGCCATTTTCACTACTTAAGTATTACTACCACACTAGTATATTGCATACCTCTATTAGACTCAGAGGTTTGATCAGCACTTCTCCAATAGTCACAATCTTCCTATTACATAACCATTTCCTTAATTGATTCTGGTCTATTCCAAGGAGTATTGCCGTCATGGCAAGATGAAAGTCTTCAGTCTACAAATAGAATAAAATTATTATCATCATCATCATATTTCATCATCATTGTCATGCATCATCATCATCACCAGCATTATCATCATCATCATCAGCTTCATCACCACCCCTACCATCATCATCAACATCAATACCATCACCATCATCACCACCCCTACCATCATCATCATCATCATTATTTAYCTAATATTATTAAATAATAATATGCCATTATTCAATACCTCTACTGTGCATTCATCTTCTCCATAATCTAAGATCTCTACATTTCCTAAATGCAGTAGAGCTGCCAGTATCCTAAATAGCATTTGTTGGTCATCTTGATGGATTCCAACTAGATCCATAGCTTCCCTTGTCTCGTAGAAGCATTCAGCATCATCAACGTTGTCTATCGTTGGACAGTCACCTTGGTTGAGGTAGTTAAAATCATCTGGATCTCCTAGATTAATATTAATTAACAAGTAATAGGTTAATGGTAATCAAACTGACTGAAACAACCTCTGGGCTGATCTAAGTCATGGCATGACTAACTCACAGATCAAACCCTGTAACAACCCCTGGGCTGATCTAAGTCAGGGCATGACTAACTCACAGATCAAACCCTGAAACAACCTCTGGGCTGATCTAAGTCATGGCATGACTAACTCACAGATCAAACCCTGTAACAACCTCTGGGCTGATCTAAGTCATGGCATGACTAACTCACAGACTGAACCCTGAAACAACCTCTAGGCTGATCTAAGTCAGGGCATGGCTAACTCACAGACTGAACCCTGAAACAACCTCTAGGCTGATCTAAGTCA